CGTTATTTCCATGCTGAACTCTTTCCAACATTGTTTCCTTCTTCAATTCTTCCCATTTTTTTTCTTTAGCCTCCCCTTTCAGACTTCCCACCTCACTCTCAGGCCCAATCTTTATACTGATAATTTTATCTGTTCCACAGGAAACACCCCAATAAAGCTAGAATGACCATACACTGTTCAGATTAACTTTTATAAAGAGTCTGTAAGATACAGCCCTTTGCTCCAGCTTCAGCCCCTCTGGCTACTCTGTGTTGTGTTATAATTTGATCTGGATCAGGCACTGTGTATCTGCTGTGTGCTGTTAACTGATGGTAAATTTGGCACTTTAGTTGCGGTGTTCTAACTAGGGCAGCTTCTACGATTTCTCCTCCTTCTGGGTTTTATCTACCTAAAGTTGTGGCAGAACTTCTTGGCTTAGTGTGTAGATATCTCAGGTTTTAGTCTGGCAGCTAATCTCATGTACAGGGTCTTTAAAAAGTTCCTGGAAAGATCCGTGTTATTTTTTAATTGTATTTTTCCACAAACTTTTTGAAGTACCCTTGTACTTGCCAGTCAAATCTGAGTATCTTCTTAGTGAGCATTCTGCTGGGGCCTAGGCCAGGAAGCCAAGAGTAGAAGGGACTGAGGAGAATAGGCAGAAATCATGGATCCGGGGAAGAGCGATGACTTCATATTACACTAGCCGCTAGGTAAGGAAGAGAATGCGCAAGAACTGAACGGAGTGTGTGTGTGTGTATTTAAGTTAGAGCAGAGTAGCTAACTGAAACCAGTCAAGTTGCAACTGGAATTACACAGACTGTTGTGGTTGTTAAGACAGTTAGCTATGAGTGTTCCACTCCCCGTGATAGTGATTAATACACTGTGAGCTGTCTGTAAAAACACAAACACAAAAACAAAAAAAATCCATTACTTTACATTAAATGACTGCTGTAGGTATTTTCCTTTTAAAATGTTTAAGGTAGACATACAGTCAACTGTGAAGTGATTTTTAATGCATCATGAACTACAGTATCTGAGATGAGTTGGTGAGAATACATATTACATAGCAATTTATCATCAGTTTAGATCCCAGCAGTGTCCTGAGTATGGTCCCTGTAGCCATGTAAGCTATACATTGTTTTGAGAAGGGAAAAGGCCTGATTGAGGAAAAAATGTAGAACTACTTCAACCAGTCAGGCCATGGTGTCCCAGGACCCTATGACTCTATTAGATCCCAGCAGTGTCCTGAGTACGGTCCCTGTAGCCATGTAAGCTATATATTGTTTTGAGAAGGGAAAAGGCCTGATTGAGAAAAAATGTAGAACTACTGCAACCAGTCAGGCCATGGTGTCCCAGGACCCTATTACTCTAATCCATGATCTCACAGCTATAATTATATGCTTGTATCAGAGCTTTCAGCAGAATTCTGGAAAATGTTTTGAAAAGCAAAGCATTATTTTCAGTGATTCCCTGCAATCACATGAATTTATAAGATACTATATTGGCTGCTGTATTGGTCCAGTCTAACAAAAATAGAGCAAAGAACCACTATGGAACTTCGTCCAAACTTTTTCATTATCTTGAATTCACCAACTCAGAGCCAAAAGGAGCCATCATTATGTATCACAAGGCTGAAGTAAACATCCTATTTTTCTTATTTTCTCTTCCAATTTTTGGGAGGCGGTGAGGTGGTGGGTAGGTAAAGTGCTTTTCTCTTCCTGCTCTTTAAATGTACTCATGATCCATTTCCCAAACCAGCTTCTTATCTGCTCTTTATTTCAGTTGCTAAACCAGGAAGGATCCTTGACTCCAATTTCTCCCTCATCTCCACACCTACTCATCCACCAAGTCCTTTCAGTTCTACCCCCTAAATAGCTCTAGAATCTGTCCACTTGCCAGCACATTCACTCCCAGGCCACCGTCACTTCTCACCTGGAATTCCATAGTCTCAAACAACTGTTATTCTCCTCTAATGCTTTTTTATACATCAGCCAGAAAAATGCTTCTGAAACATAAACCTGACATGTCAGTTTGTTGCTTAAAATCCTAATGGCTTTCTTACCTTAACAGTAAAATTTCAACTCACAGGAAATTTGAAAGACCCTCCGTGTCCAGGCTCCTTTGTCACCTCTTCTGCTCCATCTCTCACCCACCACTCCCTTCACACACCACACCAACACCTCTTTATTTTAATTCTTTTTAATTCTTTGTCGGTTCCTGCAGTGCTCTCGAATTTTCTCATCTCTGTGCCTTCTAATATTTTGGACACTCTGCTCAGATTACTTTCTTCTCTTTTTTCCACTAGTTAGCTTTTGTTCATCCTTCACGTCTCAGCTTAAATGTCACTTGCTAGATTTAGGAGACCATCCTCAATCCGCTAAGTCCCTTTACGAGTCAGGATAGGCTGAGTTTTGTTGCAATAATGAACAACCCCCAAACCTCAGTGGCTTAACACAATGAAGTTTATTTCTTGCTCACGCTACATGTTCATCATGGCTCAGAAAGTGAGCTCTGCTCATTGTAGTTTCGCAGAGACTCAAGCTTATAGATGATAGAGACTGGCCAGTTAGCTCAATTGGTTAGAGTGTGGTGCTGATAACACTAAGGTCCAGGGTTCTGTCCCTGTTCTGGCCAGCCACCAAAAAAAAAATAATAACAACAATAATAATAATAGTAGATGCTAGAGGCTCCATTTCACACCTGATTCCATGGTAGCCAAGGTAGGAAAGGGAATATGATGAATCATGCAGTGACCCTTAAAGCTTCTTTCAGAAAGTGATATATTTCCATTCATATTTCATTAAACAAAGCAAGTCCCATAGTCATGACTAACTTCAGAGGAGGTGGGGAAGTACAGTTCCTACCATATACTCAGAAAGAGAACCAAGATGAGTGTGGCATCCCCAATGACTACTGCAGCTCCCTTGCTATATACTACCATGTCATCTTGTATTTCCTTTAGGATAATAATGTCATGCTTTGTTATAGTTACATGTGACCTGCTTCGCCTACTCTAATCTTTGTGAAGGTAGGATCATATTTGTCTTATTTATTATTCTCTCCAGTGTCTTCCTTACTGCTTGACAGATAGTAGGAATTTAAAAATATTTGTTGAATGAATGAATGAATAAGACAACACTCTAAGATTCAGTCTTTAGTTCTTTATACTTCTACCCGTACTGTTTCTCTTTGAAGGTCTCATCCCCTGTCATGGTTTCAGCAATCACTGCCCTGACAGTGATTTTCATACCCTGACTTCAATCAAACATCTCCAACTACTTACTTGATATTTCTACCTGAATTTAAAATGCATAAGTTTAAATTTATTCTTTCAGGAAATATTAATTACTTTCTGGCAAGGCATTATATTAAGTGATATGAGGATACAAAGATACTTGCCTTCTGAGTGTTTACAATCTAGTGTAATACAGGGAAGACTACAATGAATCCATAGTATGTACACAATTACAAATGCTAAACCAAAGGAGAAGAGAGGCAAGTGATTTACGGCAAGATGGAATAAGAACTTGTGTTTCATCCATTGAATCTGTTGAGCAAACATCGCCATTACTAAATACTGTTCTGGCTGGGTATTAGAGATAACGTGAATCAAGTTTTTATCCACCCACAATCCAGCAGGGAGACAGATAGCTAAGGATGAAAGGACAGATGGGATTTTGAAGGAGTGTGGGAGAATGATTGAGAGGTAAAGGGGATGGTGCAAAAAAGAGCATTTCCCCTAGAGGGGCGGACCTGATTAAATATCTGAAGGTAGAAATTGTTGTCGGTATTTATGTCAGGAAAGATTATAACAAGGAACTGAATTAGGATGGTGACAGTGATAACTTTTCTCAATTGTTACAAATACTTTAAAGACCAAGCATACACAAGTTGTTTTTAAACTTAATTTGAAAATGTTAATATTATGAGTTTGATTTACTTTATTTCTATACTTAATTCTCAGTCTTCTGTGACTAAAAGATACCCACTAAGGAATATTATGCCACTCCAAGCAAGATGGGGGAGGGGGTGGGATACCACCTTTGCACACTGAGGTGACTTATCAACCAGAGAGATTGGGCTGGGATGCAACAATTTGGGGGTGGGGGCAGGTTTTACCACCTTTGCACACTGAGGTGACTTATCAACCAGAGAGATTGGGCTGGGATGCAACAATTAACCGTTACTCATGACACTATTGGGATGCACTGAGCCTCACTTAGAGTCTCTGGAATACTCGCCCCCATCGTTTCCAACAGGGTGGTCTCAAGGCCCTGGGCATTTATATTCAACTTATCCATAAACTAAGTCTCCTGACTGGTTTGAAATTACATCCTTGCCAGGATAGAACTTCCTTCACTGCTTGTTTTAATTTGCATTTCTTTGGCTATCTTAAGACAATGTCCTGTTATCTTCTGTCTGGTTTTATACATACATCTACCTGATCCTTTGTACCCAATTTTAATTCTTTTGTAAACTCTTTTACTCTTATTGTCTAATTTGAGTTGATGGGATTCCGGTCTTTCGATAGTATTCCTACTTAACAGGACCATAATTCTTACATATAAAATGACATCCAGTTTCACTCTATACATCCCTTGTGTCTCCATCTGGCTCTTGAGTCATAACACTCAGGTCATGCTTCTCACATAGGTATGAGAGACCAATGTGATAAACGTGATGGGATTTGTAAGCTGATTAATGATCACCTGTTCCTCAGCATGCCCAGGTGTGGCACATGTGGCTGTTAGTGTTGAAAACAGCCATAGCCTGCTCTCTGTTCAGCCATGATCCAGTTGTGTCATCTTGGGCAGTTATTTAACTATTTTGGGCCTCAGTTTTCTTGCAAGGACTCTTACAGTTCTCAAGTCCTGTAATCTATTAAATTCTAATTTATTGTAGTCTGAAGTTTTACTGTGCTTTGTTTAGGTATTACTCAAGAATTAAGTAAAGTTAATCTTCTTGGAAATTGTCTTAATTATGGAGGGCAGTGAGGTAATAATGGTTTTGCTTCCTTCCAGATCTTTGATGATGCATACAAGTCCCAGCTCAGCTGTGTGGTTGTGGATGATATCGAGAGATTGCTTGGTGAGTCCTAACTTCTGCCATTTTGCTATCTTTACCACGTTATAGCTAATGTCTCAAAAACTACAAGAGTATTTATGAACTGTAGGGCAGTAGAAATACCTTTCTTTGTCTTATGAGGAAATATAACATTATCTCTCGTACCTGACATCAATGATAGTATTCATGTTAATATGCCATATGACAGTAACTCCATTGTAAACTGCTTCCCTGTATGGGCCCTGCCTCATATTTTATATCTTCCACAGTATGCCGTACCCATAATAAGTTTTTATTGATGGGTATACAAGGGTGCTTCAAGAAGTTCATGAAAAAATGGAATTAAAAGATAATATGAATCTTTCCATGAACTTTTTGAAGACCCCTCAAAAAGCTGCCTGTAGCTCAGAGATCCTCTTGAGAACTTTGACAGAACTAATGAAAGAAGGTTTTAGGATCATGGTGAAATAGAGAAATTTGCTAAAACAGAGACTGTAATCCCTTCCTTGCTCATCTCATAGACTAATTGTGAAGACAAAAATGCGATAGTAAATGTTGAAAAATTCTGAAAGTTGAGTGCTCTATAGTAATTTTTAAAAATATCTATTTATCTCCTATGTTGAAGTGCATTCTTAAGGCATACAAAGATGAATAAGACTTAGTCCCTGCACTCAACTCATAAGGAATAAATGCCAGAAAATTATTGTTACTCTTACATTTTATCTCATTGTAAAATTAAATCGATCTGGCATAAATTCGTTATAACAGTGGCTCAGGATGGGATAATAAATTCTATTGAAGTAGAAACCCATCTCGTGACTTCATAAACATTTGAAAATACTACCTAACACCTGATTAATCCCTTCTTCCTTAAGCTGTTCATAATGGTGTAGTAATGATTTCAAGCTAACTGTTCTTACTACATTTTTATCAAGATTTTCAGACTTGCTTTAGGTCCTCTGTTAGTTATTTTCTTAAGTTGTGGCAAGTGTGTGTGTGTGTGTGTGTGTGTGTTTATGTTTGTTATGAAGCAAAGCAGATATATCTGTGAGGTCTCCTTAAATTGGTAGTTTTATCTAGTGACCTGGGTTTTTGGTCTGCTGTGTTTGATACATCTCAGCCCAGTTTATAGGATTATTTCTTTAAAAGCTTTTAGGCACATAGCTCTGTGTAAATTCCTTTATCTAAACACAATTGAGATGTGTGGTCATAGCAACACTACTATGTCAGGAATGTGTGCTCTCTGGGTATATTTTCACTTGTATGAGTAGTTATTATCTGTACTTGTTTGTTCATTTATTCAAGAAGCATTTGCTGAGCCCTTACTGCTGTGCTAGAATTATCAGGGTCTCAGAAAAATAAGTAAGATTCTGCCTATTCGTTATAACATATATTGGCAAAAATTAATGCAAAGTAGAATGTGCCATGTGTTCTCCATACTCGAAAAACAGACATCACTTTTGACTTCAGGGAGCTGATACCCACAGGTAGCTCTAAGGACAGGGCAGGGGTGCATATGCAATATGCAGAGAAAGCTAAGGAGGTAGCATTTATGCTGAATCTTGAAATATTGGTAGAAGTTTAACAAGTAGAAAGTTCTCTTAGAAAGTTACCTGTTCTTCACCATCTGAGGGTCATTCTTAGTGTCTCTTCTATTGTTTCAGTTGTATTAAAATTCCTTACCTACATCATTTTCCCCTTCACCCATTTTCTAGCATCATGTTTTGTTGCCATTGTACTGTATTGCTATGGCTTGTAGTAGTTTCTTAGAAATACTTGCTAAATACACCTGGGAATTTTTTTATCCCACCTCCCACAAGAAAGCCAGACAAAGATGTCTACTTGAACTTAAAATGGATATTTAGAAATTTTTTTGAAAATTTATAGATAAGAGTTTACATAAAATTTTTAGCATCTAGGTTATTGGAGATATTTTTTCTTATTATAGATAGTTGCATGACTATTATTTAGGACTGTGTTTATGCTTGATGCAGAAAAACCTGAATGTTTGGTGTATGTACATATGTGTATCAAATCCCTGAACACAACGTTTCTCTTCCAGATTATGTCCCTATTGGCCCTCGATTTTCTAATCTGGTATTACAGGCTCTTCTTGTATTACTGAAAAAGGCACCTCCTCAGGTAAAAATAATAATAATGACTATTTTCACAAAAAGTTTTTGAGTAAATTGCATATTCTCTCTAAATAATCAGGTTAGCATAAACATAAAATTCTGTTGTTGAAGGGATTTTGAAAGGTCGTCTGGTCTGGCCTTCTGTCTTAAGGTAAATTATTATCTTAACATAATTTTTGTATTCCTTTTCTGAAGATATTGAAATCCCACAATTTCAATTAGTATTATATTTTGTTTTATAAGTTCTCTACCATATTGCACATTCCTACCCCCTCCACCTCCCAAGAGATTATGATATTAATGTAGAAAGGATTAAATACTTTTTCCCATTTGTTTCATTTATCATTTCATAGATTTTCATGAGAATTAAAGTTTATTTCCTATAGGCAGATTTAAAAAGAAAAATTTTTGCAGATGATCTTGAGTTATTTTATTGTGTCATGTGGAGCTTTTGAGGAATTTATAGCCAAGATCTTGATTCATATGGTTACATTTTTACTGATGTGGCAATTAGAGACTGGTGATTTTGATAGCTTAACAAATTTTGAAACAACCTATGAGGGTTGGCTAAATATGTTAATTATGTAGAGGCTGCCAGAGCATGTTTGGCTATGTCACCAGCCACGAATTCTCTTGATTGATTCTGTGTACTGTAACCTTGAAGAAATGCCAATCAAAGGCAGATACAAAGGGGTAAAGCACTCACTTGAAAAACACCAATGTCGATATAGGAATCTCATATTTGAAGTTAGAGATATAAACTAATCTATATGGAAAATATTTAATGTCGAGCTGGTGAATCTAATTTTTAATTTAACAGTAAAAATTATGTGTGTATATTTTACACTTAAAGATAACGGACTTGTCTTAATGTTTTAGTTTTTTTGTTTGTTTTTTTAATTTCTAGAGTAGTAAAAAGAAACATAACCTACAACAGTCTTGAAAATTTGCTACATATATGCACTATGGAAGGATTTTTAAATAATCTTTCCATAAACCATCATTTCTAATAATTGGTGTTTTAGCTTATAAAAATAAGGCTGAAGTTAGAGAAGTGAGTATTTTTTTCCCTTCTCTAATTTCCTCAATATTTTTTATAAATTCATAAATAGATATATCTAAAGTTGCTGAAACAAAAATAATTTTTTTGTTTTCATATACATGAATATGCACACATATCATGCACACAAAAAAATTTTTTATGATATCAACATTATTTAAAATTATTAGAATGGGATAGTTTTCTAGGCATTTAAATTTATTTCTTATAATACGCAGTTTTTTAGCTAAAAAGAATTTATACTAAAAGTCACTTGGGAGAGGGAAAAATAACTTTTCAATGCTATTTTAAACTTCTTATCCTTTACATTGTTAAATACACATTGATTTACACAGAGATACATCCCCTGGCTGAGAGTTATTTGTAATCTAAAATAGATACTAATAGAAATAAACCAAAAATATTAACAAATGACCCGTAACGTTTTGATTAAAGAGTTAAGAATAACTCTTTCTGTTTTGCAAAAATAATTGTAAGACTCCTGAGGGAAGGAACATTATCTTATACTTGTAAATATCACAGCATCTGGCAGAGGTTGATACATATGTGCTTCACCAATAGCTTATTCAATCATTTACTTATATAACTTATTAGAAAAAATATATATATTTATATATATACATATATATATATATATATACACATTAGCATCTTCTTTTAGTGGGGTTAAGTGTTTTAGTATTGCTGGAATTTATATTTAGATGGGGTATGATTAGAGTGAAAACATTCAAAGATAAGTAAAATTCAAATGGCCAAGAAGTACATGAAAAGATATTCAACATCATTAGTCATCAGAAAAAAGTAAATCAAACAAATGTAGTGAGGAACAACTTCATACCTACTAGGATGGTTATAATCAATAAGTCAGATAATAACAAGTGTTGGTGGGGATGTGGAGAAATTGGAACCCATATACACTGCTGGTGAAAATGTAAAAATTGTGCAGCCTTGGAAGACAGTCTAGCAGTTTCCTCGAAAGGTTAAACAAAGAGTTACCATTTGACCCAGCAATTCCACTCCTAGGTATGCACCCAAAAGACAAGAAAACATATGCCCACACAATGGCTTGTACATGAGTGTTCATAGCAGTGTTATTCATAATAACCAAAAAGTGGAAACAACTCAATGTTCATCAAACCTAATAAAATCTGGTATATCCATACAGTGGAATATTACTTAGCAGTAAAAAAAAAAAAAAATGTTGATCCATTCTGCAACATGGATGAACCTTGAAAACATGCTAAACAAAAAAAAACTAGTCACAAAAGACCACATATTGTATGATTCCATTTATATGGAGTGTCCCAAATTGGCAAATCTATAAAGACAGAAAGTAGATTAGTGGTTGCCTAGGTCTAGGAGGGGTGGATGGGGAGAATGGAGGTGACTGCTAATGGGTACAGGGTTTCTTTTGGGGGTAATGAAAATGTCCTAAAATTGATTGTGTTAATGGTTGTGCAATCTGTGAATATAGTAAAAACCATTGAATTATACATTGTAAATGGGTGAACTGTGTGCTATGTGAATTATGTCAATAAAGCAGTTACTTTTTTTAAAAAGTGGTTTCAGAAGCTATTTAAATGATAAAAGGAGAATTATATGGAGAGTTAGAAGTAAAGGGCAAATACATGGCCCAGCTTGAGAGAAATCTTAGAAACAGGAATTGGATTATTAGAAAAGGGATGTGGAATGAATTTCTCTAATGACTAAAGAGGAAGGATATAGAAATATGTAAGAACTAAGAGATATGGTTGTTTTAGTGAGTGGAAATGGCAAGGATTCTCTTTTAAGGGGATACCAGCCTGTCATTAATCAGAATTTGGTGACTCTAACCTGGACTGCAGTAGCAGTGAATTGGTGGCAGGAGAAATTAATGTTTATAATACACAAAATAAAAATATGCTTTGTCTGTAAACCTTCCTTTTAAAATTAGTTTGTATTCTCTCAAAAAAAGGGGGGGTGGGGAATTTTCAGACTGTCCAGTGTCAAGAATGTTTGTCATTCTAAAGTGAAAATGTTCACTTCACCAAACCATTATCATATAGGTTTTTCAGATGTTTTCAATCAAATATTAAAAATATATGCATCTGGATGTTATGAAGATGCATAGGATGACAGAAAACTTATTTTTCAGTGGCAAGAAAACAGAAAAATTTGAGGCATTTTACTTTAAAAAGAAGAACTGTGCATGTATACAGTACAGCAACCATATCAACCATAGAACCCTTAATTTTGCATTTGTTGTAATTCCAGCTTTCACACAGGAAAAAATGTGTGTGCATGTGTGCACATGCTCAAATAAAAGAATCCCTTCAGGGGCACTATGTTGTTATGTATCAAGATATTCTCTTTTCTACTGACACCCCTCCCCCATTTCCCCCTCCCTTCTTATAAACTGGCTTATTAAAACTGGTTCACAAGCCCTCCTTTTTTCCCTTTGTGATTGCCTTGGTCTTGGATTTTCAGTGTAGAACTAAAAATTCAAGTCAGATTTCAGTTACTAGGATAATTTTCTTTGAATTTTAAATTTTTCTAAGTAAATGCATAGATTTTTAATGAACCTAGTATTCAGTAGGTTAGCTTTAAATTTAGCTAGAGAGTTAATTTCATGATTGATTTATTAGCCCTTTGAAAGTATAAAAGGTGGTATCTGTAGTTCATGAAGACTGAAAAACATCATCACATTTTGTTTAGCATCTTTTTAAAACCAATTAAAAGCTTTTCTAAAATGGATTGAACAGGAGAAAATAAAACATGTTCCCTAGGTCTTTATTTCAATCAAGTTTCCCTGTGTTCTGCAGGAGAAGAGATCGAGGGGGGATAGAAAAATTGAAAAGGGCTGTCCCAGCAGGGAGCCAAGCCAGAGAAAAGGGTTTCTCTGAGAACTCAGCAGCAGCAGCTAAGAAAGCTCCCAGCCTGCTTCATCTACATGCAGAGTCACACAAGGCATGGGGGTGCTCACCGGCACACAGAGGTTTCACATGTGCTTCCCTGCTGATTCCTGTGAAAAGCTAACAATTGGCTTGGAGGGTAAAAGACCACTGCAGTTCACCCTCCCTGAGCTGGACGTACAATTTGTCCAGTGTTAGGAAATGTCCGGCTTAGCAGTGAGAGGTTTGAAGACACCCCTCCTTCCAGTGAGATTCCTAAAGCCGTCTCTTTTACTTGATGACACTGGGGCTCTTTTCAAGTATCACAGATTTATGGAAGTTGAGGGGAATGTGCTTTTCAAGATCAGGAGGATGAAAGCTTTAGTCTTAATGTCAAGGAAGAAGCAGTAGTAAAGTGGTAAGGCCAGGTAAATCTTCCTGCAGCCTGCAGCACCAATGGCTTGTTATTTTCCTCATAGGTTTCTTCTGCCATCTTTTTTTCTTTTTGGGAGACAAAATAAACTGAAAAGGAACTATTCAGGCTGTAAAATGACATGACTTCCCAGTTGCTTCAACAAGTGTGAGAGTAGTTACGCCCATTAACCTGACTGTTTAATGCTGGGTTTACTTGACACTTTCGGGAATCAGATTGGAAGTCCTCGTGTGTATGTTAACAGAATAGCCTTGTAATTTATGGAGAACCAGTCCTTTTCAGTTCACTGCTTCCCAACTTCCCCTTTTTATATCATGGCACAAAAAAAGTGAAAACATCTGATGATACACTTGGGTCAGTGGACGAGGCCACTCACAACTGGCTGGTGGCCCAGCCACTCCAGATATCACCCAGCCTTCCCAACAGCTGACAAGAGGTAGTATCTTAGTCCACATATTTGCAGCACGCCAGTTGGAAAACTCTTGGGAAACTGTAAATTTTTACAAAAGAAGAATATCACTCAAAATTTATAGAAGTATTGCTGAAGTAGAACACAGACGCTAACAATTGGTAGAGTTTTAGCTATATTATAAAGTTGTTGAAAAAAATAACTCCCTCATTGCTCTGGCACCTAGGAATATTAC